GAAAGCAACACACGTAGCCGGACCAAGGTGCGGAGTGAGATTTTCTAGATGCCGGACCAAGGATTTAGAAATACATAACTTATCACTTTGCATGCAAGATACTAGGAAAGAAATGTTATAGCTAGAATTATCAAGTTATGAACCTGTGGGGAACACATAAATCCTAGTTACTTTGATTACTTGATTAAAATTCAACATTAAAAGCTGTTAAGTGTCTCTGTCAAGTTCGTTAGTTATTTTTATTTTATTAGGAAGTACAAAACCCCCCTTTTATGCTTTTACTTTTTAAGAAAGTCATCAACCGAACAATAGTAATTACAAGTTGGAGTTAAGTCTAGACTATTTTCCTCGTGGGAATGATCCCAACCTCACTAGTTGGGTTATTTACTTGACGCGACCGCTTTACTTCTCATTTGAGAAGTAAGTTTGAGCGTATCAGGACCATATATTTATATAGATATCTTTTGAAAATATATTAGCCTATTATTTATTGAAATGAGTGATTTTTTCCGTTGCCTCAAGTTGGGACCGAATTATTATTTTTGAGAGATAATTAATCAACAGAGTATTAATTTAATAAGGTTTTATGGTGTAAAGTAAATAAACAACACTGTAAATACAAAAGTGTTTATGGTATGAGGTGTTGGTCTCCTATTTGTTGGTTTGAGATTGCTGAGGTATGTTATCTCATATACCAGGAACTAAGCTTCTATTTCTTTCCAAATATCATTACTCCTTTCATTGGTAAAATTTTCAAGTAGACCCAAACATTAACATAAAATTCTAGTTCTCTTCTTCCAACATCAAATTAAGCTCTCGCAAATAAGTTAAACCTTTTTCATATCCTCATAAACCAACTCGGGCCCTATCAAAGCAACCTCGGCAATCTCAAACAAACAAATACTACCATAAATAGCTTAGTGACTAATGATTAACATATAATAATAGTTTCTCAAACTTTACTTGCAAATGTATCAGTTCTAGGTAATACACTCACATAACATAGGTAACTAAGTGTCTTGAAATGGTCTAAGTGAGACTTCTTTCTAAGTAACATTTCATAAGAGGATTTACCCCGTAGAATAGTTGATGTAAACCTATTAATTATATATGAGAATTGAGAATACAATGCCCTCAAAAGTAATAGGAATGTGACCTTGAAACTTAAAGGCCTTTCCCAGTTCTAGCAAGTGTCTGTGCTTCTCTCAGTTACACCATTTTGTTAAGGGAAATGTAAGCACAAGGTCTCTTATGGATAATCCCCAGGTCCTTAAAACATTCACTTAGATCAGTGTGCACAAAGTCTCCACTATTAGGGGACCTCACACTTTCAACCTCAGCCTTGAACTGTGTTTGAAATATTTTGAAGAAGGATTTTAATACTAGTAATACAACATTTTTGAACTTCATACAAAAATTGTCACTACATGCGGCAACCATATATGGCAAATATTGAACTTGTCATCTTCACTTTATTGTTGATTTTACATCCAATCTTAAGGAATCTCTGAAAACATATATTCCCTCCGTTTAAAAAAAGAATGTGGTTCTTTCTTTTTTTAGTTTGTTTAAAAAGAATGATCTTTTTTTTTTGGTAACAACTTTCCACATGGCATGCTTAATGCCACAAGATTAAACGACAATTTTGTGCATTTCACATAATTTAAATTTAGGACTACATGATTAATGTTCTTCTTTAATTTCCTAAAGTGTGTGTCAAGTCAAAGTAAACAATTCTTTGTGAAACGAAGGGAGTAGAAAGACTAGGCGGGGAGTGCAATATAATATAAGTAGCTAGAGGCAAATCTATCCACAGTTGAAATTTAACTTCTAATGAGGGAAAAGTTTGAATTAGTTTTCTTGAAAAGGAGAGAGAAGTAACCCCAAGAAAAGGGTAAAGCCACATTAACTAACATGTTTGGGAAGGAAGTGAACCAAAATGCACTATTTTTAAATCTTAACAGACTACTTAATTTATTCTACACTATTAAAGCAGTTGAGATTTGGGTTACTGAAGATGATTAATTAACAAACTTGTACACGAAATGCAAGTAGGATCTTTTAAATTATCACATGCTTTAAACTGTCAAACCTAAAAGTATCTTTATGTTGCACACGAAAACATTCTGGAATTGAATCTATAGTTTTGCTTCAAGTACGTTTGTGAGCACAACTAACAATTAAATCAAGCTGAAATTTATAAAGTTTCGGTGATATTTCTAAGAAAAATTCCCCTGATCATAGAACATGATACATATTTTAAAATAAAATTAATCAAAATATATTTAAGATCCTACTAACCATATATAAGATACCATTTTATTTACGAAGTATGCATATAAGATACCATTTTTATTATTTTCTGGAACAAAAAATACATCCAAATCGACAAAAATCCAAATGTTAATTTTATGAAATTACAAGTAATCTCAAGGTAGTATTGAAAAAATATATAGTATATGGGCATGTACGTTTCACATATACTCCGTAACGATGAATCTGAACTATTAAAAAATTATATAATTTCTTTTAAAATAGAATGTGACTTGCAATAAAAATATAAAAAATAAAATGATAAATGTTTGTAGTGTATAGTTAACTCATAGAAGATTTTTCTTTTTGTACATTTAGTCCTCCCCTTGTTATAATTTTGATGTAGAAATTTTATATTTGTTTGGGAAAATACCCAAGTACCCCCTCAACCTATGTCCGAAATCCCAAAGACACACTTATACTATACTAAGGTCCTATTACCCCCCTGAACTTATTTTATATGTAATTTTATACCCCTTTTTAGCCTACGTGGCACTAGTTCGG